ATACTTATAAAACACATCAAAGAATATGAGTTCATTACTTACAAGTACTGAATCAACCCTAAAGGAAATTATTTCTCTACTTCTTCAATTAGAAGGAATAGATTCAATCTCGTATATTAACATTTTCGTCTACCTATTTCATCATGCTCCAAGATACAAGAAATAGGATTTCTAATTTCAAAATCCATACCGAATAAGTTAGAAGACACAAATCTATAAATGTAAGTATGCTAATAACTCAGGACTAAGATCATTCTCTACATGACCATCAGTAGACTTGATTTGAATTTCTATACTTAATGGAAATTATCAGAAACTCAAATCACGTTTATGTCCTAATTCTACATAATCTTAATATGCATAATACACTCATTCAATATCTCTCCATATTAACAATGTGGATAACATCGTTCCATTCTTAATGGGAATGACATGTATTAATAATGTTTTAATTAAAAATTGTTAAACTTTAATTAAATTCATTACACACATATTCTAATTATTATCTTTAAATATTATCCTCTCACATATAATACTTCTATATAATATTTAAGGTTACATAAATAATCACGAAATTTTTAATGATATTCATAAAGTATTCAATAAGATATGCACATAAAATAATAAAAAAATCTCTTTTATTAATTAAATAATAAATATCCAACATACATTTCATGTTTTTAAAACTCCATTCACAACAAGATAAAAGTTAAAGCTCAGATTCAAGGGTTTAAGAGGTTTGGAATAAGCATAATATGAAGGTTAGAGGTAGTAGTGGGGTTAACTATTCATAGTTTTTTGTTTTAAAATTTTTACAGGTAGCCCATTTGGCAGTGTTTTCAAAATAGTTTTGTTTCGACTCAACGATGGTTTGGTTTGGACTGTTTAAGGTTAAGAATAAAAGTGTTTACAATATTTTGAGATGGGAATGGGAGAGGGAAGATAATAAGCGGAGGTTAGGGTTTTATTAATGGGGTATTTTTTAGATTTACCCTCGAACTTGTACGATTTTAGCAATTTACTTTATGAACTTTTAATTTTGTCAAGTTTCCCCCTCAACTTATAAAATGTGCAATTTGTACAACTTTGGAGGTGATTGTATTAATTTAGTGTTCAAAAAGCACGTTTGACGAAAAATTCTAACATCCCAATTTAAATGAAACACAAATTTTTAAATTCTCAAGTTTTAATGCCTTAAAACTAATAAAAAAATCTGAACAAATTTAGTGGAAATATAGCACATTACAATAAATTTACAAGTTTGAGGGTTGCTTGTCAAAATTAAAAGTTTGAAGGGTAATTTGCTAAACACAATAAGAGTTAAGGGAATAATTGTGCTAAAAACCTTTTATTACATATTGTTAATACTAATCGACAAAAGGATAATATTAAGCTTTTTTTGAACAAAAAATATCATTAATAAATTAACAAATTATACAAATAGTTATAAATGACCACAACTTACAAGGGAATTGGACCCTAAACATTAACTGGATCCACAGTGAAGACGGATGAAGCACAAGGGTGAACACAAGTGTTAAGACCCAATGGGGAAAGACCTACTCAACACGAACAAAGTGCGACCAAGGCTCATTAACAAGAACCACTACAGTCGATGAATAAAACTAGTCAACCGAGACCAAATCCCTAATACTAGAGACATAAGCGACAGAGACTAGAAACAAATCTAGATATAAACAAACACACACACTGTTGATAACCAACTGAGACAGGTGGGACACATAAATAATCTCGGTATGTGGAAAACCCACCTCCATGATTACAATACATAAACTTAGCAAAAACATCGCCTTTATTAGATCCAAACAAAAACTAAAAATAAAAGGGTCTCAAAACACATGACGAAGCCTTCAATAACAGGATGCCTCCTAAGTCCAAGTAGACCAAAAAAGGCAGCACTGCGAGAAAAGGAGAGGGTCACGGACGAAAATCAAATCTATCGATGAGTGGAAGGCACGCAGCATTATCGCGGATACCCTAACGAACCTTGCACTGGACTAGAGGCGACATGGTGCCTAGAGGACCAAATCCTCCAAATTGTAGTCCCATCCTGACGTCCATGCTCCCCCAAATAGTGGCTGAAGGCGCGACCTCTGTCGTTCCCAATAACACCGAAACCCACCCCAGTAGGGATTTGACTTCCATTACCCATCATCCTCAACCAAGCATCCGTGCGCCCTAAGACCCATCTCCAAGGCCGGGAATCTCACGGCCCACCCCAAGGTGGGGGCCGGATTTCGACCCTCCCACTCAAACTAGTTGTAACGCACAAAAGAAACGATGAAAACCCTAGGGGAAAGTCGAGAATAAATAGCACTTCTTGTTAGTTTCCAAAACTTTTTCGAATGCGGAAGTGTATATGTGCGGGCCATGTATGACAAAAATTTTAATAAAACTTTTGAATACTCTATAGAATATATTAATTTATGCAATAATAAATAGATACTTAGCGAACAATTAGGCGGATAACTTGAGGTCTTTGACCACGAACAGTCCTTGCTCCAAGCATTCTCAGAAAAATCCTAATCTTTCTCGTCTAGTCCTTGAAATATGCAAGACGTAAAATGTTGGCTCTAATATCGAACTATCAGATTTGATCACTTGCTAATTTGTAATACTTCACTATCAACGCATGCACGGGAAGTAACTAGGAATTAGAAGAACTTTTCTTCTCTTAAAATTCGGCCACCTATGGAATTTTTTAGAGCAAACATTTTGTTCTCTAATTTTCTATTGTCTCATATTTATAAAACACTAGGAAGACCCATTTACTTTAACTTGAAGACAAAGCAATAGAAAATTGGCTATTTTAAATCACATTTAAAATACAATTTTCCATTTAATTTTAGAAACAAAATTCTCCCTTCCCATATATTATACCGCCAGTCACACCACAGGGAGACCTCCCTCAGGTTGGCGCAAATAACAGACAGGATAGAGAAAAAATTCCTCCTTAATCCAGTTTCTAATTTTAGCTCAAATTCAAATTTAAATAAAGTCAAACTTTACTTTCCTTTTTGAATTTGATTGTAAAACTTGGCAAACAAGTACATCGGATACCTTGGAGAACAAGCAACTGAATCCCGGTAGGATTCACCCTATGCCAAGCGCCAACACCTCCCTATGCTCGAGCATGTAGCCTTCTGTGGTCCCACCACAATGTGTTCTAAAATTAATTTAATTAAATAATCTCATTATTTATTTTGAGTGATATTAAATCCCAATAATTCACCTTGTCTTACAAATATTACAAAGACGACGCAGTGACTCATGAACCTATAATTCTGAGCTCCAATAAAATTAATAATTAATTAAACTCTTTAATTAATTAGTTAATTCTATTAATTCTAAAAGTTACTCGACTAAAAGCTTGGAATTGCACTCTTGAAATTATAGACATAAGTGACTTCAGAAACTTGAAGTGTCTATTTGATATAATCACTACATATAGATCAATCCTCCGTAAATAATTCATAATTAGAACTAGGTAAAATCTGTTAACGTCTCTAATTACATTTTATCATTGAGTACCTTTAATACTCTAATGAATAGTATATTCATAAAACACATTCATGAATAAGAGGTCATTACTTATTCAAGTACCGAATCAATTCTCAAGAGAATTATTTAACAACTTCTTTAAAGAAGAAGGAATGGATTCCACCTCATATATTATCATTCCCGACTATTCATTTAATCATGTTTCCTATATACAAGGAATAGAATTTAGGATCTCGAAATCCATACCGAGTAAGTAAAAAAAAAACACGAATCCATAAATAGGAGTTTACTAATAACTCAGGATTAAGATCATTCCATATATGACCATCGGTGGACTCAAAATTTGATTTTCTATAATTAATGAAAATTATCATAAAATCAAATTGTGTCTGTGTCCCAGTTCTACATAATCTTATAATGCATAATACACTCATTCAACAACCATGTATATTAATGATGTGGATAACACCATTTCATTCTTATGAGAATGAAGTGTATTAGTAATATTTTAATTAAAGATTTCGTAACTTTAATTAAATTCATTACGAACATATTTCGATTATCATCCTTAAATACTATCATCTCGTATATAACACTTATATATAATATTTAAGGTCAAATAAATAATCACGGAATTTTTAATGATATTCATAAAATATTCAATAATACATGCACATAAATAATGAATAAACTATTTTATTAATTAAATAATAAATATTTTTATTACATCTCATACTTTAAGGACATTATTCTTAACAAACAATTCCGTTTTGTTGTGATTTAAATTAGATTCTTTTGCCGATTTGAACACCCATAAATTTCTCCCTTTTTGCTCATGACTAGTCAAACGCGTGCTTTGCGTGGGTAACTTATTTAGAATAACGGTTATGCAAATCACTGAGGGAAAAAAGGGAGAGAGAAAAAAAGATAAAAGAAATAGAGACAAAAGCGCGAAAAAATATATGAAGTAAAGACAAAAAAAAAGTAAGAGAGATAAACTGTAGATATATTTTGCAACTGAACCTGTAATTTATGAGGATCACAGATAAAATATGTTAATGTAAGAATATATTTGAGAATAAATTAATTTAACAGAGTAATTAAATAAAATTATATTTTAAATAATTATAAAAAAATATTTTAAAATAAAATATTTTAAAATATATAAAAATTAAAGGTTAGATGATGCAATAACAAAATAAAGGAGGAAAAAAAAAGAAAAAAAAAAGAAAAACATGAAAAAAGAAGGAAAAAAAGCTATAAAAAAAAGAAAAGAAAAGCTCTAAAAAACGAGCTTATTCTCTCTTTTTAAGAAGAGAGAAGAGATTCATGCGTTAATACTTTTAGTAATGATGATAAATAAATAAAAATTCTTTAAAATAAAAAATTACTGTTTAAACAAAATAAAGAAAAAAAAAATCTGATATTTAGGACGAGGATAAATTAGATGATTATGTAATACAGAGTACAGACAAGCATTATGTACAAAGCTCGAGAAGAGGAGTCCATGGGAACAAACAGTCGAATAAGAGCGACTGCAAACACTTCTTAGTTCTCTTTTCTGCTCCTTCTACCCAAAAAAATAAATAAATAAATAAAAGCGGAATTTGGAAAATACCACCGATGTACATAAACACTGGAACACCTTCTTCTTCTTCATCTTGCTGCTGTTGGGGCCAATGGGACAAGGCAAATACGCCGCCGTTCCAATCTCTGTTCGTATCTCCAATATTATCGCGGCGAAAGCCACCGCCTCCTGTGTTTGTGTGCGCGGCTTCTCTTCCGAAAGATGACGACGGCGAGAGGTCTGCAATGGCGAAAGGCTCTGGAACGACGGCGAGGGGGCGGAGGCTGCTCAAGCTTCGCGAAGAGAAGAGGAAAAGGGAATACGATCGCCTCCACAACTATCCCACTTGGGCAAAGTCTCACTTTTTCCTTCTTTATCTTTTTTTTTTTTTTAAATGATATTTTTTGATATTTTTGAGAAAAAATTTTGTTTTTTGTTTTTTGTTTCTTTTTCTTTACAGAGTGTTGGAAGACGCGTGCAAAGATGATGATGAGCTCAGAGCCGTTCTTGGGGATAGCATTGGAAATCCTGAGCTTATGAGGAAGAAGGTATGTGTTGTTTGGTTTTCTTTCTATCCTCTTTTCCGTTTTTTTTTTTTTTTTTTTGTTTTCCTAATTTGTCATTTATTTTATTTTGATTAGTTTGTTGGTTATTCCATCTACAATACAATGCTATAATTAATGTATAAATTATAAATTTAATATTTGAGTATAAAAAATACTATTTATTGTGTTAAATTTACCCGCAAGTCCAGCACATGACAAATTTTGGCATTTTATTTGTATTAGTTGAAATGTTTATTTTTTCGTGTAATTATTGTACATTTCGCATTTTCTAATTATTTTTAAATTAAAAGTATACTTTTACAACTTTTAAAGTTTAATGATTATGAGAAAAAAAAAATTAGCATTTTAAAAAACATTATGTATTAGTGCACAAATAAAAATAACATATCATATTATACTTTTTAATATCAAATATACAATTGGCATTAGGATTTGCATTTGATATGGTGTTATATTTTTATATATTGAGTTCTCCATTCAAGGTCAACAATGAAAAAAAAAGGAGGGGAAATATTTGCAAGAATATAACGACCCCTAACATACGCGTCTATTTTTTTTTTTTTTTTTTTTTTGGCTATACATTTACATAGTTATGGTTACTTTTGCCTCTATTTCTACATTTTACTCCATGAAGGCTTGTCTGTATATATGAATACATATATGCGACTTTGTTTCTGGTTTGTGCCTTTGAGTTACTTTTCTTTTCATCTTACAACTTCACCATTCAACGATGAACTTGGTTTGTTAATGACTTTAGCTACTTACAGGTCTCAGTCAGAATGTTTCCACTGAAATACAAAGATATATTCTTTTGGGGTTGAATGAAGTTGTTAGATCATCGTAAAATAGCCAAATGCAATGCTAGAGTCAATCCCTAAACAATTGTAACTAATTTGTAGAAATCTGAAGTATAATCCTTTAAATATGCGATTACTATCAGCAGGTCATTTGGTGGGTTGGTGAAGTTGCTCCTTATCCTTAACAAGGTCTTAGATTCGAGTCAATCCCAATGTAGTGGATGGGGCATATATTGTGGAATTACTCTTGAGGACCTCAATTTTGGGCTTTTTGTTTTGTTTTTTTTTTTTTACTATTTTTCCACAGATATGTCATTTTTAATGAGGTTGGTTTGCTACTAAATTGATCGAAGGAATCTGAAATTAGAATAACTTTTCTATGAGATGACGTTGTGATGCTTTAGAAGATATGCTGCAGGTTGAAGAAAGGGTTCGGAAAAAGGGTAGAGACTTCCGAAAATCAAAAACTGGTTCGGTTCTTTCTTTCAAAGTCAGCTTTAGAGAGTAATTTTCCTCCTCTCTACAACATACTCATTTGATTCTTCTCTTATCTATTTAAGCCTTTGTCTCAATTCGTCGAGTGCAAGGTAATGAATTATAGTTCTGATTCTATCACCTTTTTCTTTTTGGTGCTGACAGCTTCAACCCTGTTGATTCCTATATATGGTTTGAACTATATGGATCACCATCTGATCGAGATGTTGATCTCATTGGTAGTGTAAGTGAAACCTTTCCTGCTAAGTTTCAGTTCATGCTACAATGAGCGTCTTAGATGGTAAATATTAAAGAAGACGACGAAGAAACGTGGTTTCTAATTGTGTTTAGATTTATGGCTAGAGCTTTTCTTCGGATTATTCGTTCTGTAGGACATGTTCATTTACTGTAGGAAAACTTGCAGGTGATTCAGTCGTGGTATGTTATGGGCCGCTTGGGTTCCTTCAACTCTACTAACCTTCAGGTTTGGCCTTTCTTCTTGTCTTCTTTTACATCAAACTTTTTCCTGCTTCTGTTTTTGAAAAAGTTATGCAGCAATATTCTATGATATCAACACTAATTTGTTTCTATCATTATGTCCGTTCATACTATGACATAATATGCTACACGTGCCTGTAAACCTGTGATGACTAAGTTTAGGTCATGATATTAATTTGCATGTTGGGAAAGAAATTGCCTTCTTAGGAATAACTTGAGTTGCTCCTTGTTAAGATAGTCGCAACAACAAGATGGCTTTCATGGTTTACTTGGCCAATCGGTGATTTGTTATGGGATATAATTTGCAATTTTCATGAAAAAGACACTTGAAAGCTAGTGATGGCTAAGTAGCAATAAATTTCATCTACTTAGCATGATGCACATGGTTAAAAGTAACGAGCATGTAATGACGATGTTTTCTCAAGTTTCAATGGCAGAACTTGTAGCCTGCCGGTTTCTTTCCTTTTTTCCTAGAAGCATGAATTATATCAGTACAAACATATGTTGACTGATCTATGTGCTATCTTACTTGGCATCTTAATTGCTAAACTTGTGATTAGATTATCGACGAAATTATTAGAGTTCTTAATCGTTGGGAAATTTTGTATTAGCTTTCACTAAGTAACTATCTTAAATGGAGAAAGAGAACTTGATTTGTAAAGTTTGTTAGAAAGTTGCTTTTCCTTGGGCATTTTACTAGAAAGCTTTAGCACCACAAAAGTAGTCAATGCCTAAGTTGTTACCGTACACATTAGACGGATTGTTCTCGTTATTTGGAGCTCTTTTTTTTTCCCTGATATTCCTGTTACAGTGATGCTCATATTTATAATGCTCAAAGATGGTAATAGAAAGTATTGGCAGCTGGCAAATTCGTCTATGGACTACGACCCCTTGTACGATGCAGAGAAGGGTTTCAAAGTGATGCCTTCGTCATTCCATGATATCGGCGACGTTGAATTTCAGGACAACTGGGGCCGTGTTTGGTATTGCCTGATGGACTCTCTGCATTTTGGTTTAAAATCATGTTAAAAATTCTTCTACTTATCCTTCTTCACAGAAGAGTTTTCAAAATCCTGTTACTATTGTTTTGCAGGGTTGACCTCGGAACATCAGATTATTTTGCCATTGATGTGCTCCTCAACTGCTTGACAGTCTTAAGTTCAGAGTGAGTTACCGTAGTTTTGTCAGTTAAGTGCACTTTGATATTTCTTTTAAAGGTCTGCAAATCTTGACTAGTAATTGCTATATATTGTATTGTCATACTCATTGGTAGGTATTTAGGAATCCAACAGATAGTCTTTGGCGGTCGTGGCATGGGTGATTGGGAAGAAGGGATGACAAACCCCGAGTATGGATACAAGTACTTCAAGATCTGACCTATTTTTCGGGATCATAGTTTTCTTTTTCTTCTTTTTTTTTTTTTTTTTTTTTTTTTTTGGGGTTTTTTCTTTTTTTTTTTTTTTTTTTTTTTTTTTTTTTTTTTTTTTTTGGGGTACTGTCCATTTCAATTTAGAATTTTTTCAGAGCTCGTGTACGCGTATGTCATGTATCTATCCTATGTTTTGGAAGGCAGAGTAGGGGTGCATGTGAAAAAATTTGTTTTAAGTCAACTTGTCTCAGACTATTGAATTTTTGTTTTGTATCAACTTTAGTGCAAGGTGACACAAAAGCAATAATTAAAGGACCATTTGTGAAATTACATTACTTTAGAATATGTTTTGACTAATTTCATATATTTAAGAGGTGAATGATTCATTTTCAAAATTCGACAGCTATCTTAAACTAGGGTACACAAGTTATTTGGACGTGTTTGGAATTCGTTTCAAAATGATTTTATTTTTTGTATGAAAATGAAAATGAAAACGTTTTCAATCTCAGATAGAAATTATTTTTGAAAATACGTTTGGTAGTTTTATCAAGAGATTGATTTCAATGTAAAAAAATTCATTAATATCTCTCTTTCTCTCTCTTTGCTTGAGAGATGAGAAAATAAAAATAAAAAATGAAAAATGACTAAAAGTCGTTTTTCATTTCTCTCTCATTTTACACTAAACTAAAAAATCGTTTTCATTTCTGTTTTTTGTCTTTATTGCGTCAAACATCGTTTTAGAAACGTTATCATTTTTTTTATCAAAAAACGTGAAAAACGAAAGCAAAATCAATTCCAAACACGACCATTATTTTTTAGTACGTAGATATATTCATTAAGCTAGTACTGTTTCTTATAAACTCTTCATACAAAAGAATTATAAACTTAGCTAGTTACCAACAAAAAGGGGGTAAGATTAAAAATACAAATATGACAGAAAGATGTGTAGTGATAACCATAGCCCCACTTTTTGTTTCCTCAAGGTTCAGCTTTTTAACACCCATTCAAAAACAATTTCAAACTTATATTATTTATTCAAACGTACACTTTAATTGCATATCCAAACGCTAGTTAGAACTGCAAGTTTAAACCACACTTTTCAGGCTTTACAGTTCAAATCGAAAAGCAAAATGTGTTCAGCTGCTATACTTCTTATCATCTTCCTTACATTTTAATTTTTTTCTTGGATTAATTAACAAAAGTCAGGGCAGCATGTAAAACCAAATATCACCTAGATATTGAAAAAGCTTTTAAGGCATAAAAGAGTAAATGATAAGAAGGATAACACTAGAGCACATTTTGCATTATATAATTAAAACTTGATTCAATCACTGTGTGAACTTCTGAACCTTCCATGCAAAAATTAAATGATAATAATAATAATAATGCATCATTCCACAAAGCTCTTTACATTCACTTCAATCCATAGTCAAGCTAAAAGGTGTTCAACAGTAACAAGAGAGCACAATGAACACAACTTGTTAGAGGATCAATGAAATGAAAAATAGTTCCTTTATACAAATTCTAAAGAGGGATTTTGTTCAAATATCGCCATCAAGAGAGCAAGTGAAATATTTGAAAACACGGTACTTAAATTGGGTGCAGGAATTCATGCCTCAACAATATTTAGGCTTTCGTTCAGTTCGCGAATTCGAGTTTTCAATTCGAGTTGATATGTGATTTTATGTGAAAGCGTTTTACTGTAGTAGAAAAATTAAATGTGACTTTTTATAAGAACTTTTAGCTATAACAAAATTGGAAGTGAAAACTTAAATTGGTAAAATGAACGATGATACAAATCCAGAATACTTGGCACCCATGTGAGCACATACAGTGATTGATTTAAGTACAGCTCAGTGGGGGCCCCCCGCTCAAATTTTTTTGAAAAAAATATTACTTTTAAAAATTTTACACTTAAGCATCCACTGAAATAATATATGTCACCACTAAAATAAATATATTTTTTTATATGTCCCTACTAAAATAATTTATTAAAAAAAATTTAGTGTACGTCTCCACTGAAGTGAAATGCAGACTGCGCCATGAAGCACATGCATTATTTCGAATGTAAGTAACAAGTTGATATGATCATATAACCAAAGCGATAAAAAAGAGACGTGCAATGAAAAGAGAACATCAATGCAAATTCCTGCCACGCTCAATTAACAGAGACGGTAAATCTGAGAAGACGCTATTTTCGCAAAGAGTAAAACGTAGAGAAATTGTTGTTTTAAACCAAATCCTAGAGCACACAAGACCATGAAAATCTTAGCAGCCCTCCAATAAGAAAACGTAAATCAAACTTAGCCGAGCTGTCCAAGAATTCATGGTGTTTGTTACTCCTTTACCTTAAAAAGTTCAGAAACGTTTGATTCATAGATTAAAATCATGTTATTAGAATCATTTTTTATTTACATATATTTTTTGTGAGAGAAAATATATAACAAATTACAAATTATAATTCAAATCAAAAAATAAATCTCCTAATCAAATAACCTCGAAGTGTTGTTACGAACTACTAAAGAGTTGGAAAGAAAGGTGCACCCATTCGACTAGATTTACATTCCAATGCTTCACATGCCACTCTAGGAGTGAACTTGGGCAGCATATTTTGCTACGTCATGTTGGGTTTTCGGCTTTAAATTAAGCCCAATTTTGTTTTGTCTTTTGCTTGGGCCCAAGGTCCATGACTTTGTCTCTAATTCGATTAAGCTAGCTATTCTCATTGATACACAGTTTTTTCTCTTTTATTTTTGTGTAGGAATATTTGATCATAGAATTATTTTTTGACAGTTAGAATTCTTACTTTTTGGGTTGAGAGATTTTAGGTGTATTCAGAATTTAGATGGTGGGAGATATTTGACATGCTTTTATAGTCTCCTTTGGTTATAGTAAAATTTCTTTGTTGTTTATGTTCGTGGATGTAGGTCAAAAGCCAAACTACGTTAAATCCTCGTGTCTCTTGGATTTTTTTTATTTTTCATATTTTTTTTCTCAAATCTATTTAATTTGACGTTTGACACAACAACTGGTATCAAAGCGTTGGTTTATTCGTCAAATTACTGACGAGACTTGTAGCTTTGTATATGACTAAGTCTCTCACCAATTAGCTCTATCTAAAACATCGTTTGTACACTCTTCGCATGTCAAAAGGTACATCTATTTAAAGTCATCTTGATGAATTTAATAAAATTATTCTGGATTTAAAAAATATTGATGTGGAAATTGATGATAAGGACCAAACCCTAATTTTGTTATGTTCTTTACCTGGTTCGTATGAACACTTTATTGATACTATGCTATATGGTAGAGACACTATTTCTTTGAAACATGTTAAGGTGTCTTTGAATTCTAAAGAACTGAAGAAAAATGCATTTTTAAATTACAGTGATTAGTAACTTGCAATTTTTATGAACATGCATCATTAGTAATGTTGGAAAAACATGGTTTATGAACCATGTTAAGAGGACATTTTGAGACTAGATTTTGAGTGGGGTCCACTTAGTTTTATGGAAGATCGAAGTGGGTTCCAGTTCTCCTTTGTGAGTGTTGAGTAAAAATATTTATTAATATTAAAATAATATTTCACACACAACATAATTTCACCTATACTAGAATTTAATTAGCATATGAGTTTATTATTTTTAGTTCGACCCATTCAAGATTATAAGAATAACCTCTTAATTACAATCCCTTGGTACAAGGGAAAACTTTTTTATTCCAATTAAAATAGTAAATTCTATTTTTTTTTTTTTGTGAATTTGATAAGTTAGGGCTGATTTAAATAAGAATAACCTCTTAATTACAATCTCTTGGTACAAGGGAAAACTTTTTTATTCCAATTAAAATAGTAAATTCTATTTTTTTTGTGAATTTGATAAGTTAGGGCTGATTTAAATAAGAATAACCTCTTAATTTCAATCCCTTGGTACAAGGGAAAACTTTTTTATTCCAATTAAAATAGTAAATTCTATTTTTTTTGTGAATTTGATAAGTTAGGGTTGATTTAAAATTGCGGCTGAACTCGGTTAATCTAGCCGAGTTGCCTACATACCCCGTTGAGGGATCAAGCCACTTGTAGTTCGAATTTAGAATTGTGATTTGTGTTTAAATAATTTGGTTTTAAATTTAGAATTTGTATTTGGATAATTCCTAGGTGTATGACCGCCTGAGGAATTAAAAGAACTTTAAAAATTTAACTTGAAATTTGAAATTTGGATAATTCCTCGATATATGACCGTGTGAGGAATTAAAAGGCCTTTTTGAAATTTGATTTAAGATTTAAATTTGGATAATTTCTATGTTGAATTTAGTTTGGAATTTGTTGTAATTTCAAATTTGGATTTGAATAATTCCTCCGTATGAGAAATTAAAAGGATTTTAGAATTTTGACTTGAGATTTAAGTTTAGGTAATTCCAATGTCGAATTTAATTTGAATTTGAAAATTATAATTGCACATAGATTTTGTATTCAAAATGGAATCAAGTCTTCGTAGTTCTTGATTTGAAATTTAAAATTTAATAATTTGTGAATTTTAATATGAGATGAATGACCTCTTTGAATTTTTGGGGCAAATTATAATTTCATATTTTTCTTTTCCGTGATTTTTGAAACTAATCTCATCCTAATAGATATGTGATACACACATATTTTTTTAAATCTGTTTGGATTTCAACGGAAGATACTTAGGCCTCGTTCATTTCACCGATTCGAGTTTTCAATTTTAGGTTTCTACAATAAAAAAACTCTCAGAAAATATCACATCTAACTTTTTCTAATTAATTCCAACAAAGCTTTGGTCGGCAACAGGCTGACATTGAAGTCAACATCACTTTTTTTTTTAATTTTTTATATCCTCTATTTTTATTCTGATTAATTCCTTTTTATAATGTTTGAACATGATTGCCACCTCTATTTCTCAAAAATTGCCTCCACTCACACTCACATGGATTATAACAGTTTTGTAAACTTTCTCATGATGCTTTTCACCAGACTTTCAACTAACACATTTTTATTTTTGCTCATGCATCCACTTCCTCCATGAAATTATCCAACTTCCCACGTGACTATTTTTTTTTTTACTATTTTTTGTTTCAACAGTGAGATCTTCAAAACGGTATATTATACGTTCAAAATGGTACTTAGGTAAATGAGAAATTAATGTTTAAAGTGCACCCAATGAGTTGAAATCTTAAGGGAAATAAGGAGAAAAATCCTTATCCCATATCGAAACGGAATTAAAGGTCCATGGTGCTTATATAGGATTGCACATTTATTGATGTGTAATTTGGTAAGCAAAATGGCTCGTGTGTGACTGCGTCTTACGGGTACGAATGTTGCTAAAAAAAACCAGCCTCTGCTTGTTTTAATTTTTTCTAGCTCATATTTACTGGCAGTGTGATTGGGGTTTAATACCGAAATTAACCTACCATTAAGGCCTCAGATTAAAACGTTTTGTAACAGCCAAAACGTTTGGATTAATTGGAGAATTAATTGGAGATTAATACTAGTTTCTAATCCGTTTTGGCTTAATTGGAGAATTAATCGGGGATTAATACTAGTTTCGAATCCGGAATTGAAAGCTGAGAGCACCAACAGCCACCCTGAATGACTACAAATTGACATCTCTTCTCCATGTTTTGGACCCTACTTCATAAAACGCCTCTGATAGTCCTCTTGCCCTAGTCTAGGCTATTCTAAGGTCCCGTTCACTTTACCAATTTGAGTTTTTTTTATGGTAAAAAGCTCTCAGAAACAGTCACATCTAACTTTTTTACTACAGTAAAAAACTCTCACATAAAGTCACATCTCAACTCGAATCAGCGAACTAAACGGACCCTAAGTGTGATAAAGTTTGGGTACTTTTCAAGTTTGTCGGATACGCTTTGTTGTGCACTGAAGTTACCATTGTATCTTAAGAGATAGACGCCAGTTATCTTCAAGCAACGACGGTGAGCGGTACATCTGTATAAAGGATAGTCAGTTCCATTATGTTCTTTGTGGTTTAATATTATGTTCTTGTAATTTGTAATTGCATTTGTTTATTGTGATTGTCAATTCTAATTTACCTGTTCGTTTCGATTTCTTTGGTCCTATTTTTCTAACAAGTAATCCATGAAGATAATAATAATAATAAAAACAAAAGAGTTATTGAGCTACTTTGTACGTAAAATTAGAAAAGAACAAAAAGAAAATTTCGAATCATATTGGATGATTTTTTGCTCATATAAAATAAAGACTAATAACTGTTCTCATTTAATCTGTACATGACAATTGCATATGATTGATGGGCAACCATATATATGCGTCTTATAGTACAGTACAGTGGGTTCATGTTAGAACTTGTTCGTCTAATTAAAAACTATCAAGTAAAACTTGTTTCTTAACCTAACAAGGGGAAAAAAAAAATTAAAGGCTATGGTGAAGATGGACATGATCATCAGAATCTTCTACGAGAGATGAAGAAATTGAAATCATGATGGTTGAAATCAAGAAGCTTCAACCAGGAACTTGCAGCATCTAGATATGAGGCAATCTTCTCCTGATCCGATGTCGCCGGATTCATCCAAAGCTCGCCGTTCATCTTATAGGTTAAAGCTGCAAAAGGCGGAACCGCAATTTCACTTTTCTCTTCATGGTCCCTGCAAACTCCCCCAGTATGCTCCTTTTCCACACAGTTTATAAATGGAAACATCTTGCTTTGTTCCTCTAGTATGTTATATAAAACTTGTTAGTACCAATGTTGAGAGGAAACAGACAAAGCACTAAACTCATAGTAGTGTTTTCTCAATTGAAGTCACTGCGGATGTTGGATTTATTGGGCGTGTTTAGAACCGTTTTTGAAAACGGTTTTCACGTATTTTAAGAAGCAAAAAATGAAAATGAAAACAAAACGATGTTTGTTTAGCAAATGTTTTGAAAACGAAAATAAGAACAGTGAGAATAGTTTTTGTAAAGAAATTATAAAACAGTTAAAACTTGTTTTCACTTTTTTGTTTTCACTTTTTAGTACTTATTAACAATATTATAATATATTAATTAATAAACATGTTTTTCTTTTTTAATTATACTCAAAACAATCTCTTAAAAAACTAACCATACGCAATTTTAAAATCGGTCCCAGAATAATTCTCAAAACAATCTCATTTTTACTTTTTATTGAAAAAAAATCATTTTGAAACCAATTCCAAGCGCACCCATTATGTCGCTACCTCAGTTTTTCTTTTGGGTTAATTTTTTTGAAAACTAATAAAAAAAAGTTGAAAAAAATAACACTATTTTAATTGTTTTCTTTCATCACTGTCATGTTAAAATTTTCTAGTAATTACATTAAGTACCAATAGACATGATAGTGTATTTTATAATCATCTGTTATTTTAAAATTACTCGTGATGAATACTGATGTAGCAGTGACATAAAAGAAAATAATTAAAACTAATATTGTCTTTTAGAAATTATGATTTTTTATTAGTGCTTTAAAAAAAAAAATAGCCCTTTTCTTTTTCCTGTTTGAAGCTTGAAACTAGAATTCACTGAAGAAAAAATGATTTTACAATAATATTGATGAAATTTAATAAACACAAGAAAAATTATGATTTTTTATTAGTGCTTTAAAAAAAAAAATAGCCCTTTTCTTTTTCCTGTTTGAAGCTTGAAACTAGAATTCACTGAAGAAAAAATGATTTTACAATAATATTGATGAAATTTAATAAACACAAGAAATATTGCTGCGCTGATATATCCCACGTCTATAAATTTTGTTTACCTCTTGAAGTACTATATAGTTATGTGGTATATTTGTATCCAATACCAATATTATGAAATAGAGTAGTTTTGTGAGGGAATCTTATTCATGAAGAAGATATCTATAGAAAAATGGAGAAAGGACTGACCTTTGAAGGAGGACAAATGGTGAAATGTAAGAAAACATGCTGATAATTCCTTCACATTCTTGGTTAATGGAATCTGATAAATGGGATACCTAGTGAGCAAATGAAGACCAATCTGTAACTAACATTAATAATACAAGGAAATACAAATTACTAAATAATTAGGCCCTTATCTAATCATATATTTACTTATAAAATTAGTAATGACATTATAGAAAAAAAATGAAAAAGAGGAATATAAATTAAGGCATCCCCTTTGATATTGAAATTCCCTAAATAGAAATTTATGTGAATTTTACTTAGTTACCGTTAAAGTTCACATGTTATAAACTATAATCTAATGATTGTAATTAAAGGATGTTTTAGTAATTGCATTGGTAAGATCACCATTAATAAGTTTAGTAAACACTAAAAAGGGAATTGGATTGGATTAATTGTTTTCGATCACACTAGATAATAGATAAGTGAATACTAGAAAGTGAATTAAACGATTCTCATTATTTTACTCCAATTTCTAACTCTATTACCTATCTTATTACATTCCTTTACGGCTAAGACAAGAAGAAAATTGATGACGCCAGATGGGAATAGATATGTTGAATAATGAATAAGAAAAACGAATATTACAGCAGCCTAACGGGCACAGAAGATACTTAGGTCTTGTTCAGTTCGCGGATTCGAGTTTTTAATTCGAATTAAAATGTGATTTATGTGAGAGCTTTTCATTGTAGCAAAAAAAAGTTAGATGCGACTTTTTGTATGAGCTTTTAATTGTAGCAAAACTGAAATTGAAAACTCGAATCGATGAAATGAACGATACCTTAATTTCTACTGACGGGAACAATATCAATTTTCCAATTAATTTTAAGAATACTTAAAAAAATTACATATACCAAGCAATGGCTATCCAACTATAAGGAGAGAGATCTGTGCTTTGAAACTTCATCAAACCAGGATATTCATTGGCCAATTCCTTGATCTGAACAAGAATCAAAACCTCATATATGGTCAACACAATTCAATAAGTATTGTGAAAACTGTAGTTAAAAATAGATGACTATCTGGTCAATCTTACCTTTTCAGTTAAAGGGATTCTGTCATAAGGACTAATTGTCTCATTGTACTGGCAATACAGGTCCCCAAATGGATCACCATGGTCAGTTTCGCCGGTTTCATCCGAAGTGATGTCGGAGCTTTTACTCGAATTGTCGCTAAAGGATATCGACAGCTCGCTTTCATCGCTCGAAGACCCTCTCTCCTGATTTTCTGCGCCGCCTTTTCCCTCCATCCTTCCGAAAAGAAAATGCGTGTAGAATAGTCATCAGCAAGCAGTAATTCTAATTTTTCAAGTAAAGAAGATAAAAGGAAGTAAATGACATAAAGTACCTGGGTGAAACAGTGGGATTTTTTATATATATTTGGAGAGCTGATAAGGATGGACAATAGTATTGTAGGCAACTGTCACCATTGTTCAGAAGAATTGGGACACCAGCACCAAAGATACTTCTTTCAGTGTAGAATTTCCAAAGGCTACTCAAGGAGAAACACCCCACAATGTCTTTGCCAAGGGAATGAAGAATATTCTGCAGAAACAATCGAAAGGAAATGGATGCAGTGAGAAGGAGGCTTCTAATTAGCTTCTCAGTTCTTAAGAGTAGTATATAAATTTCTAAGATTTAATGAACCGAAAGTCAAAATAGAAATTGATAAAGTTTTTTAAAGTTTTGCGTGGGAAAATTCCCTCTGTATCAAAACAAAAGCTTGGATTTGAGGCTTTTAACCAAGCTACTGAAGTTTCAAAATGTTAGCTTCCTTATGTGCGTGTCTACAAGTGTTAAGGCCATTTAATTGTTTCACATAATTTTGGATAACCATTAGGATCAATATTGGCATTCTATTTACACATTGTCTTTGGTTAGTCTAATTTTTTATAAGGATAATCAGATCATTTTCATCATTTATAGAACCAAAGTATGCCACAAACATCTTTGTCTCCAGCACAACTTCTGTTTGGATTATCACTTTTGTCATTTACTTAAAAAAATAAGGGTAATTTGCAGCCCGTTGACCGAGTTCGGTATCGGTATAAAAAAAAAAAATGAAATAGTTCCTAAATTCCAGTCCAGGGTTTGAAATTAGATGATAGCTGTCAAATCGAGTTAGTGATAAATTAAATTTTTAAAGCCTGAGTTAAGCCCTTGTAAATAAAAATAAAAAAATCACTAAAACAAACTAGTTTTAGAAATTAGTCTTGGGTACTAATTACTACACATAACGCCTTACCTGCAAAATAATACGCCTCACGCCTTACATATCGACTAATACACGTCACGCATTACATATAAACTAATACACATCACAGCTTACGTACCTATTAAAAGTTTCCTTACACGTTGGTTATTATGGGCTCGTTTAGTTCGCGAGTTAATATATGATTTTATGTGAGAGTTTTTTACTGTAGTAAAAAAGTTAGATGTGACTGTTTTTTAGAGTTTTTTACTGTAACAAAACTCAATCGGTGAAATAAACAGAGTCTAAGGAACAAATCCAAACCCTAGTCCGAAATTGAATCCAAATCCGAATAATTTACTCTCAAATCTAACCCAAGAAAAAAAAAATCTACATATACATATTAGGAAAAAGAGGAAAAGTGGGTCATCAAACACATTCACAATTCACCCATTTCTCTATATATACATATATATATACCTTTGGATATATAAATGCCATCGAGATAAACCCTAGTTTCATCAGAGACCAAGCAAGAGAAGAAAAATGCAAAAGAGACAAGGTTTTACCTTGGGAAGCCGCTTGGAAGGGACAGTAGGAGTGACAGATTTAAGAAAGCACTGCAAATTGGAATATTTGTTTGCATCAGAAAGAAGGGGAAAATCCCAAGGTGAGAATGTCATGATTTTGACAGTTTTTCTTTCTCTGATTCTACTTTCCCAGTTACAGATGAGCCTCAGTTTTTAAGAAAATCTCCAAACTTGGATATTAGAGAGTTCTAATCGAGACTTCAGAAAGATCTGATTTTCAGTAAGTTTACTAGTCCTGTATGAAAGAAATAATGAAGTACTAGATTATATATATATATATATATATATATATGCATATATATTGTATTGGGTTTTTCCTTTTTCGACTGAGAGTTCTCAGCGTGAAAGAGAGATGAAAAAAGAAGATCCAAAACGATGGATTTTTCAGAATCCCATTTGCAATTAATTAAAGTCTCCAATAATCAAATCCAAGCTTTGATATTCATTCATGGCATGAAATAACAACCTACATTCATATTTTCCTCTTTCCAAATCTTTCCCTCTCCTGCGCAAAAAAACTACACCTTTACCTATAATAAAACCTATTTACTTTTGGTCAATCTTTAAAACCAAACCTTTATTTTTCTTTTTTCTTCTTTTTTTTAACGAAAATATTTATTTAAAACTTTTTTTTCCAGGTGTTCATCACTATTTGGTAAGGCTTTGATAATGACACCTCTTTCTTCATCAATATTACTCAGGAAGGATTAGAAAATAGAATCTGCCCATGTAAGGTCAAGGTGTAAAGACTAGAAAAAGAAAAGGAAAAAGTTCATTTGGTTATTCTGAATTTATTAACTTTCCATACTTGGTTCCTCGAAAACCAGTACTTTGGCTTTTGTTCTATATTTTCCATCTTCGTTATCATCTTTTTTTTGCGTCCATTGGATCGTAGTCTCGTTCATTTCACCGATTTAAGTTTTCAATTTTAGGTCTTTACAGTAAAAAAACTCTCAAAAAATATTACATTTAACTTTTTCTGCTACAGTGAAAAGCTCTCAGAAAATGTCACATCTCAGCTCGAATTGAAAACTCGAATCCGCAAAATGAACGAGGCCTAAGAATCTGAAGCCTGTTTATTGCGAAAAATTCATTTATGCGGACTGAACTGCAATAAATCTAAGAAATAATGTAGAGGTAAAACATGGGATTTGTCGCTCATTATTTGCATTAATAGTAAACGAAGGTCCAAATCAAAGATATAAATATTCCTAAAAAAAAAAAACAAACAAGCATATGATAGAGGGCATAATTCCAAGGCTATAACGTCCGAGATAACACAGTCAATTGGATTTTTTCTTCTTCTGTCTTTTTTTTTTTTTTAATAACAGTCAATTTGATATTTCTTTCCTTTTTTTTTAAGTAACAGTCAATTGGATTTAGTGTAACTTAGAAATTTTAATGTTGAACTTCAAAGAGGCATTACTAAGTTAAAAAAAACAAAAAAACAAAAAAACAAAAAAACAAAAAAGTAAACAAGGCATTACTCGGAAGTACTCGTAATATTTAAAACACAAGTACAAAACTGACATACCTAAGAAAAAAAATCTAAAACTTTTGTCTGGTGCAGTTCGGTTAATATGATCTTTATGGAACTCATAACAATGTTCGGTAGGATGAAAGTTAACTTGGTCTAAATTAATTCCTCCCGGACGCTCTATCCAAGATGTTGGACTTTGAGGCGCACATAAAGATGCATAACCCTAAAGTCAACACCCCGATTTTATTTAGAATATAAGTCATGAGACATGAAAAGGAAAAGTATCTTATTGAAAATATTTTGGAATATTTTCAATATCACGACAGAATAAGTAATCGGATAACTTACTTTTCGATAAATAATAAGAGTGATACATTTTATATTTTGTGATTGCTCCATTTATGATAGGTGTGGCTATAAGTAACTAGATAGCAACACACAAACTGAAAAAGTGTGACCGAAATATGTCGAAACTCTGTCAGTTCTCTCTCTCCTAGTCATCCACAGGTTCTTGAGTTGTGGATTATTGTGGTTGTAATAACTACGTACACCAGGAGCAATCAAGGACGTGATGATGATCATGATCGTGTAGGATCGTAATTTAGAGCATGAAGATCATGTTTGTGACTGGAGGATTGCGAGGCTATACCGGGGCGAATCTTGTACCGAAGTCGAGTTGGAGATTCGACCTGGAACCACCTTAGACGTTGCTGGACATGTACCCGGTAGTATATTTTCCTTTATTCATTTCAGAGTAGGCAGCGGTAGTCTCCATATTCGATGTAAACAAGGAGAGAAGTAAACGAAAATCGAACACCGAAAATTGTCATTTTTTCGATATTTTCTTGTGATTTTCGTTTCTAACTTTCTGCTTTCTGTTTGAAGCTGATTTTTGATATATTGTAGATTATTTAATGGTTAATCTCCTATCAAAATTTCAGATTTTTTGGATTAACTATTTGAGAGAAAATCAGAGTCAAACTTTAAAATATCGTAAATTTAACTGCCCATATTTATGGTATCATTGCCCAAACTTATGGGCCAGACCTATGCGCACCTAAACCTGAGCGCCCAGGCACCTGCGCCCAAGGGTTGTTCCAACCCGAACCTGCTAAAAAAATTCCCATTTTTTTAAACGCATATTTTTATCTAGATTGTTATTATTTGAAATTGCATCTTTTTTTTTTAATATGTATTTCTCATATGCAATTATTTATTTCTTAGAAATATTTTTTAATCATGTGCAATATGTGTTTTTGATATATATATATATAGGAATTTTCTCTGTCAAGTACTTAGAATTGTGCCTGACCAGAACGGCAATTATATAATTTTACATAAATTGTGTATATTTATATGTAAAGTCGTGTATATTTACATATAAAATCGTGTATATTTAACATGAAATACAACAAATCAGCCAATATACATATTTGTATGCTATGTGTTCACTTAATTGCTATAAAAAATACATGTTTCGAGGATTAATATACATTGTCGTTTCTTATAACTTAACATATGCATCTTTACATGTAAATATACACGACTTTATATGTAAATATACACGATTTTTACAGAATTATACAACTGTAACTTAACATATACATCTTTACATGTAAATATACATGACTTTATATGTATAACTGTCATTTTAGTCCGGCAAACAGTAAGTGCCAGTTTAAAGACCTTACCTATATAAATATATATATATATGCCATTTTTATTTGTGATGCTTGTTTTATTTTTTGAGCCCTAATTAAATTTTTCTAGATGAGCATGCTTAGATTATTTGCAATAAATTGAAATTATACTTGATTTATTTATTTGTGATGCATGCTTAATTGCACATAATTATATTTTTGTGATATGTATGTTAGAAACATGCCAGGATTAACAATTAGTAAGCCATAGTAGATCGCAGAGATTAATATTATCTCCTCGTATGAAGATTTTGCGCATAGGATAAATTAGAGTTGTAATGTAGCGTTCATTACCAGGAAATGATTCCGAATATAAAAAAGTTTTGATCTTGCAATTAGCGTGAAATTTCAATATCTCATTTAGTTTTATGCAGCAAAATATAGGATTTTGTATGTTTATATGTACAAGGATGTAGATTATAGTTTTATTGACCTTGATATGATGTACTTTATGTTATAATGCATGGAATTAAGTGTCTTAGGAAATTTCTAAGTTTTTCTTGATTTTTCTTTTTAGACAAAAGAATCATTTCCATGACGTTAATTTTCAACTCTATTTTGGACCTTTAAAAATATGGAATTATTCCTTAGAGTCTTTTATAAGCTTTCCAAGGCCTTCTCATTTGTGAAAATCGGAGATCGGAGGAAGAAGATGTGGCCAGTATAGCATCTGGATACCCAGCAATCTCCGACCAGGTTACTACACGTGAACAAGAATGGAAATTCTAGAAGTTGACCTAACTCTTTTATTTGTCTTCCACACGATTTTACACCCTAATGACGGTCATTCCCCAAACTGTTAAGGGGTCATTTAATCATAGAATTAATCCCCAATTAATGTCAAATTAATCCCTTTTAATTTTATATGATTTATGAGCCAATAAGTATTTTCTACCTCTCTCTCTCTCTCTCTCTCTCTCTCTCTCTCTCTCTCTCTCTCTCTCTCTCTCTCTCTCTCTCTCTCCCTTCCCAAGGAGTCATGTACTCATATAAGCACAATCGTGCACAGGATTTAAACAAGAATAATGCGTTGACAGTAGTAAAAATCTAAAACACTTAAATACCCCTATTATTCTAGCGTACCTATATTTGTCTTCTTATTAGTGGTTCACAACAACCAAGAAGATATAAAAATTAAAAAAAAATTAAAAAAACAACACAATCACAATATTAATCACATGTTTCTATTTAACGTGATCATAATACATAAATACTTTAAATCAACAGTCTTACCATGTCGTATCATACTCTCATATTCATAACATAACCTCATATCATACACTATCATGAACTAATCATTCTATAATAACTCACAATACAATATTATTAGGTCATAACTATGTGCATAGTTTGTCACATACTCAATGGACTAGATTCCTAACGTGCACGTACTAATGGTCCCAACCTTATGTTGTTTGATGCTAAATCGTGTGGCTATCCTAGACTCCAGGCCAATGGGTCTAAGGAATTGCATATACGGACTTCACATACCATTTAACAAATCGAACTCGGTTTCTAAGAGTGTACCACTAGTTGGCTTGCCTATCACACTAGAGTCGCAATCCATTTGGCACTCACATAAGTGGTAACATGGGTATTCATGAGGTTTTATCCATTCTTGCTCGGCCAAGGCTCAAGGAATTCAACACAGTGACTAAATCACAGATCCAACGACCACTAGAGTCGTCGTATCTATAACCCGGGACTATAGAGCATAAAATTGAATCATCCCTCTAACGGATCGACAATAGCCACTACTATGCAAAACTAATCATATCATATTATATGTCAATGTTCATACTTAAATACAATGCCAACAAAATCATGCTCTATCTTTTATCACGTATGTTGCTTAGATGCTTACATAATCTATTAAGCATAGTAGCATTTTATAATACCATGTCATTTGTATTCTTGTAGTCAACATAAAACATGCTTCCATTATTAATACTCATATCCACACATATATTTTCATTAAGACATTACCAACATATTCGTTGTAGCTTAATGAGCATAAAACATTCTCAAAGAATTTGAATATTTCCAATATCATGTTCATTGATCATGAAAATTCATAAGTGGCATGATAAACAATAAAAATAGTCCATAAGGCATGATTATATTCACATTTCATACTGTCATAAATAATCATGGTATCCATACATAATAATGACAAACATAGGTCACAAGTAAATTGCAAGCATCACTTGTGTTGTAGTGGGACAGACCCTTGAAGAAACAATCCCAGATTGGTCTAATAAACCTGGTCAATCGACTTAAATATTTGGTTTAGACCATCTAATGACACGGGGTATGAAATAATCGATACCCTTTTCTCCCTCTCTTTTTTTTTCTCTTTTTTTTTTAACTAAGTTAAATCTCATTGGGTGTTGTGGGTGGTGACTCCCAATCAACCAAATTACATTTTGATTCCGTATTTTGGCAAAATTACAAATTTGGCCCTGAAATAGAATCTTTATAAAAACTCCATACTAATTTCGACGCTCTGATTAAGAATTTGATATTAAAAATTTCATCTAGAATTTAATTTACTAAGTTTTGCTTCAATTAATGTTTTCAGAAAAAATTATCCTCAAACGACAATTTCATCAAGTGACTCGTGTGTTCAGGATATCTAAATCCTCTAAATTACCATTAGAAAATTTATAAAATACATAATAATCATAAAACTCACTATAAAATTTCATAAGAATCCAAGATAGATAGAGCTAAAGAGTGTTACAAAATGACCGAGTAGCTTTTGTGACTAAAATGATGGACCAGAAATCGTGTCGTTCTAGATATGTGGATCTGCCTTCAAACCCAAAAAAATTAAATGGTGATAAAATATTTGTTAATACATAAATGAGGCCGTTGATCACCATCAATTCTTTAATTGATAATTAAAGGATTTTAAAACAAAACTTGAAAAAGCTAAAAAAACAAAAAAGCCTAACTAACTTGAAAACAGCCATATGCCTTGCTTACCAAGAAAGAAATTCAAAACCTTTTAAACAAGCAAACGAGGTGTGTTCCGGTTAATTAGGGATTTGAGGAAATCCATAATTTTTGAAAGGTTCATTCCAATACAGATATAAATAAAGTACTATAAGAGAATAAGAACGATCTTGTAATACAAGGCACAACTCTCAATAGAAACCAATGCCGCCAATACAATCTGATAAGAAAACATGAAGCACCTCAGCATGCTAAGAACAAGCTTATATAACACTTTTTGATAAGGCCTCAAAAATCGAAGAAATCCGTAGCAGATGACAAAGGTCCTTGAAAAGCCTACTTGCAGTGAAGCAATTTTGCATCTTAAAAAAAAATTTCTAAAAAGAGGAAGAAGAAGAATAAAAAGGATGGTGCCTCAGAAGGATTTTCATATTAGAATAGCCATTACTCACAGGAAGGAGTTGAAAGACACCTATTAATCAACGCCAAACTATTACAGAAGGAATATAAGATATTTCAAGAATAATTGAATCAACATGAATGTAGCCAAAGGTTACAATATGATCGAAGTTGTCACATACTGACTGATATTGGGTTAGAGTGAAATGGAGTGGTAGACTTGCCTCCTCCAAGCCAAAACCGATCAAACAGCAGGTAGAGAGCCATAGGTCCATCAAGTCTCAGTTTCAGTAAATTTAGTAGAATTAGCTTGTAGTTAATGCCTCCACTTGGCACAAATGTACAGACAGAGCGGAGACCGAGTCAGGACCAGACGCAGCCGAGAAGAGTCTGAACCATCGGGGGGTGCTGCATAAAGTGGGCGTTTATAACTTAAAATGCATAAACTCCGCCAAAGCAACAAAACTTCTTCTAGGCCAGAAAAACTTGAACTTCAGTTTTCCAGTATTTTTTTGTCATGAAACCTCTTGAAGAGCTAAATTTAACTCTTGCGCAGACTTTGCTAGTGATCCCCCTCTTCTATGAATAAAATTTGAGAGAAGGAAATCAGCATCAAACATAACGAGTTAAATTGAAGAGAAAGAGAGAAGCAACTAAGATAGAGCTAAGCGACACCTGGTAAGGACGGGAAAGCAGCGTTTGACTTTTTCAAGTTCCACAAAGCAGATGTTGCAGCGCTCCAATCTGTGGAACACGAATAAAGGTAGTGAGCGGTCACGGTTGGTGAATACCTAATCTAAGAATCACAACTAAGGGAATGGGTAGATCAAGTCAATCGACCTTTGCTCTGCCTCAATATCCACACCAACAGATGAAGATGCGGATACTGCAGAATAGATCATTGAACCAAATATTCTGACAAGCTTGAGCAGCATTTCCAAGGAGATCCCTATATGCCTACATATGATCGGTGGTTATATACTTGATCATTCCCAAAAGTGCATGCAAATATGACTTATCACTGTCAATGGGCACACACACACACACACGCACTCATGGAAATAGACACTATTATCAACTAATGCCAAAAAAAACAAAACAAAAAAACAAAAAACAAAAAAAAACAGAGAGAGAGTAGCCTTGAGAACCCTATTAACAACCGGTAAGCTGCCATTTCTTATAAGTGTTCAAGCTGGTGGGGAATTGCTTCGACAATGTTTATTAAAGGAGTGTTCTTTAATATACATTAAAGGAAACTGCTTCTCTTAGTATTAGGCTTTTAGAAGTGCATTATGAACCTTGTGATATTAGGATTTGATCATTACTTAGTCATTTTTACACCTCCAGTAGTGAAATAGACTTCTCGTTGTGTGGATGTTTAGTTAAATTTCTTGTTTTTAATGATTGTTAGGTATGGCTTTACTTTTTGTTACTATTTTTTTTTTCTAAATTTTTTTATAGGCATTTTTGGAGGCTTACGCCTTGCTTCGTAAAGGCAAAACGCCTCAAGACCCAATTCCGCCTTTTAAAACCTTGGTTCTTTTCATATGTTTGAATGAAAAACTTGAGCTCAAATTCAAATTTTTGTGAGAGAAAACTATAGTAAAAAGGTTGAATTGTGATTTGAACCTACGAAGAGAACAAGGCCTAAGTTAGTCATTTCATATTGTCCTAGAAAATGCAGAGCCCCACTCCCATCAACATTTGGACCCATAGACAACGCCAAACATGGATACGGAAAAAACCCAAGAGATTGTCCTAAAAGCATATTTTGATAGGAACAAGCTTCGCAGCAATGCATTTCAACCTTTGAGATAACAAATAACTGCGAAGGCAACAAATGTGTGCAATTTTTACCTATCCATGTCACTTTCCAAAAGGCCAGAAAGAAGAGGCAGAAGACAAGTGCATATATCCAGAGTGACAATGTCAATTTTCTCCGTCATAATGCTAACTACATCAGCAGCGACCTAAAATCAACAACATCAGCATCAGAAGTCAAAGAGTATACTTGTTTTAACACGCAAAAATACTGAGAAAACTGAGACTATGATAATAATAATAATAATAATAATAGAACTCGGGCAATCCAACACAAGATACTGACAGCATGATCGGCCATCTTCTCCATTGCACTAATGACCCCCTTAACATCATTCCTTTCCCAATATCTATAGACTCCCTGCAAAATTATCGCACAGTACAGCAATTCGTTAATGATAATTTTAGACATCTTAATGATCTAAAGCATTACCGTTATTAGTTACTGGAAAGTGTTTTCAGAGCTAGGCTTAACAATGGCATTATACTACCAAAGGTCGGGAACAACAACTAGTAAAAATTTTGTAAAGGATGGAAAGATATAACAATGACGCAAAAGAATTATCCAGTGTCAGTTATAACTTAAAACTTCGACAAAAATTACCTGTAACTTCGCTGAGCGAGACTGCATAGAACTCAAGAATTGGTTATGTTGTTCCATGACATCTGCAATCGCATCCTCATCACTAGCAGACACTGACTCTTTTTCAACAGGTGGAGGATATCCTCTCTGCTTAGACTTCAGGTAGCACAATGAAATGTATAAGCAAGAAAAGTATATACAAAATGCACCCGCGGAAAACATAATAAAATTCACCCAGAGTCTAAATATTAGGAATATAAGATAACTTGCCTGTGAGTAGTTAACATAGCCTTCTGTCATTAGTTTGAAAGTACTTGGAATTAATTTTAGCATTGTTTCATGTGCATTAGCATGGAAAAGAGAATTTCCAAAAAGCAGCACCATGTTAAATTATTTAGTGTCACACAAGGAGACAAGTCTCACTTTCTTTACATGTACCCTTCCCAACGCTCTCAAAACTTGGGATGTTGACCCTAGAGATCTTTAAATTAGATGTGAAGTCACTTTGTTTATAACTCGGCTAGCTATCACCTTAGCACCATACTCATCATTACTAGATCGAAGACATTGATTTTGATTTGTCAACAGAATGATTAATAGTTGCAAGCCACCAAAATTACTGTCACTTGAATCGAAGTACAATGCACGCCAAATGTAAAAAAAGATTTAACAACAAATTCATAGCAGAAAGTATCATACCATGTTCAAAGGGAGCATGTTTGCTGCAGATACTGCTCCAGAGTAAACACTAGAAGTAGGTCCCTCAAAATTTGAATATCTCTCCCTTCTCTCCCAATTGACAGCAATTGACCGCGCCCTTCCTGAAATATATATGATATGTCCCTCATAATTCGCTTTTTTTTTAAATAAGATTTCCTGTTTCTTTAAATTACTAACAGATGTTGAGAATAATTAATAGTATACTTATGTATACCTGCTCTTAGACCTCCAATAGTGCATGCATCTCTATTCATCTTGTGCCCCCGAGTTTCATCTGAAACAAAAATAGATGCATCTCCTAATACAAATTCGTCCAGGCTCTTTTTTTCTTTTTCTTAAAGTATACAAGAAACGAAAATGTATTAACACAAATGAGGAAAGAAAAAGGACATCCTAACTTATGGGCATAAGGACAATGACTGCTAGGTCAAACAGCACAGTGAAAGGTGTGGTGGGGCTTGGGTTTTGAGAGAACATGGTCGATCCCGTATTGTACTTCATAAAAATAAAAATAAATCACTTGTCGGGATAAGAAAATCAAATAGTCACCAGAGCTTGACCACATTGAAAATTAAATTGATCCCTTTTTATGTTCAAAGCCAAATTTCTTCTCATAGCAAAGTTTCCATTGTATATGTGAGAGTAAATTTTTCCCAAAGCAATTGGTATCTCCTGATATATTTCATGCGTCGAGGGTTACATCCAGATTTTTTTTTTTACCTTATTTACAATCACTTAGCTGACTTCCCTAAGATCAAAACTAGATGCTATTTGAGAAGGGGTAGGGGTAGGGATTTATGGTTGTTGAATCAATGAGAAGAAATTTTATGATTATTGAATTAGGATTCTTATTTGCATTATGTATAGGGATAAAAAAAGGTTCAGACAGAAAATATACTTCTAAAAGTTAAATACTTACAACTGTCAGGTTGACAGCTGGCAGTTGACTCTGTCATTGAATTCATTTCAAGCCTTCCAGATCCAATACCTCTGTCTTCCTTTGTATTCTTTTCCGAGGATATTCCTTGGATTGAGCTTGCAACTCTGGGGAAAAAACTCCTCTCGGGAACACTGAATTCAGCACCCTTTGGAGCAGTGGATTCAGTTTGTAGAGAAATAGTCGGCTTATCCACTTCTTCTCTAACAGTAGGGAACCTTCGGAAGTCTGTTGCCTTCGACTGCAAAGCCAAGGGCATTGTTCTTCCAGCCAAGCCAGCCTCTTTTTTGGACTCAGCCGCCATATCTTGCCCTATACTAGTTCTAGGCACGATAACAGGTATGACTTCAGATTTGTTAAAAGTTGGAGTGTTAGCCGTTGGATGGGCCTTTGCTGTGTTCCTCTTAGTGACTGCTGCACTGGGAACAGGCGTTGAACTGGGCGGAATTTTCTTTGGACTGGAGCTTAAACTTGACCTTTGGGGTGTATTGGGTACATTTCCTGAGGCTTCACTCCAAATGAATAGTGGCAAACCAGACAATGAAAATATTAGGAAAGCTAAAAGCCAAAGTAAAGATATAAGGCCAAGAAAAAACAATACTTTGAACTTTGGAGTTAAGAATAACAAAACACTGCCGGGAAAAGAACAAGAAAAAGAGGTGATGAAGGAGTCTTAAAAGTTACATACATGCCAAAACTTTCGGTTCCCTGACAACATCAGAATTTTGAGAAACTGACAATCTCCCAAGTGATTTTGTTTCCTTCACTAAAGGATCTGAACTTTGGGAAACAGGCAACCTTCCCAAACTTGCCTTTGAACTATTCTCATTCAGTACACAGATATTTCCACCAGCTGTTGTCTTAGATTCTGAATGACCATTCAGTCTCCTAGCATTACCAACTGCATATGGCTCTATCCGCTGTTCAAGAGGAACAGCTTGCAAGTCAATAGCAGCTCAACTTCGTGACCAAACACAACTAAGGTAGAAAAGTAGGGAATAAAAGCATGGAAAAAAAAAAGTCAGTAGAAACAAAGATAAAGTAAAGAATACCGTGATATCTACAACCCATACTCCTACACAACTTTGATTATATGAGCAGCCGAGAAGTTTTCCCTCGTGAACATTAAGATCTGATAATTTAGACCATCCCACATCCACGCCATCATGGCATCTAATCGGCTCCCATGAGAAAACCTATAAATTTGAAACAATACAAGTGAGCATAGACTCAATGTACCCAAAATTATAAACTAGCACCACAAATCCTCACCTTCAAACTCTCATGCAATCCACAAAGTAGGGTCCGTCCATCAGGGTTAAAAGTCAAACAACGCACTCCAGTGGTCTGATATAGGTATAAGCAAATCAGATAAATTGACTTTCATGAAAGCAGTATAACATAACTCGGCCAGAGATCCAACACTACACTTTATTATTTTACAGTCAAAATAGATTTATCCTGGGATCTAAAAAGCACCTCAGGTCCAGCTGAACCAATTAGCTCAAAGGTTTCAAGGTCCCAGAATTTAACTGTCCTATCTGCTGAGCCTGGGCAACAACAAACAGAAAAAGAAAAACATATATCAGCAATAACAAATAGGGGACACGCACAGCTTCAAGAATCACAAACATGCATCTCCTAATACTAGATTTTACTACTGTTTACTGAGTCAATATTTTCTTTTTCACTGAAAATATGGTCACCCAATTTGGTTATCTATTACTCTCCACCATTATTGAGCATAGGATAGCATATTTCCAAGCCTTACCAAATTGCTGAGTTGTAGATTGAACGATTTCCTATTTCCTATCACAGCTTCTTTTAGGATTAGGAAGAAAGAATACCTCAAAAAGGGAAGTAGCATCCCCCTTAATGAAAGCATTTTTTCTAGCCTGCCTAACTACTTCACTATCCTCATTTAGATATTTTCTTTTTCGTGCTTTAAAACCTGATTTCTTAAACAATATTATGTTTCCATCCATGTGATGGAGGGAAGGATAGAGCATGAAGGGAGATCAGGAACAAGATGGCTATAATCTTGAGGCATTACAGGGTAGATGGTTACGGACTTTATCCATGTGATGGAGGGGTAGAGCATTCAGGGAGATCGGGGACAAGATGGTTATAATCTTGAGGCATTACAGGGTAGATGGTTACAGACTTTTAAGAAAAGAGAGGTAAGACATGAATAAGGATAATGATGCAACAGTTGGGTATGATAGGTGGGATTGGTGCCTGAGGAAGGTGCCTTCACAGCTTTTAGGTTGGAACTTGGAAGTAGGGAATAACTAAGGACAAGTAGAATGTAAATATGTAATCTCCAAGGTTGTCAATTTCTTTTATAAGTAGAGCATTCAGGGAGATCGGGGACAAGATGGTTATAATCTTGAGGCATTACAGGGTAGATGGTTACGGACTTTTAAGAAAAGAGAGGTAAGACATGAATAAGGATAATGATGCAACAGTTGGGTATGATAGGTGGGATTGGTGCCTGAGGAAGGTGCCTTCACAGCTTTTAGGTTGGAACTTGGAAGTAGGGAATAACTAAGGACAAGTAGAATGTAAATATGTAATCTCCAAGGTTGTCAATTTCTTTTATAAGAAATGAGAGAATTGTAGTAAATTGAAGGAAAAAGGTACATCAGGGGACAAGGAGTCCACCAAAAGTGACAAAAATAACAAAACCGAAAACCAATAGCACAAAATTAATGAAGGACTAGATCCCGTCCACTTAACAAATCCGAAAAGAGAAAAGGTAGGCTAGTCAAATTTTGGGCTAAAATTGGTGCAGAAATAAGCCTACTTTACTTCCCAAACATTTTTTTAGGTAGCTTCTGACAAACAAGGTTTGCTAGTTGGGCGTCCTATGTGAGAAAACTTGAGAAAATGAAAATTTTACAGGTGAATACTACTTGAAATGTCAGTTGACCGCTTTCTTTTGCACTATGAAATGGCTACTAAAATTGAGTGTGAGTTTACTATTTTACCATGATTTGGATTATATTGGCCCCACCGGTGGACAAAACAATCAATGCATGAAGAGAGCACAGAGTTCACAGGAGGGTTTGGGATGTAAAGCGGAAGGGATTTGGAAAGAGAGGAGCAGATTTTTTTTCTTTCTTTAATGTGGAAATCTCCTGGTCATGTGAGCGAAATTCTTTTGGTAAGATTAGCCTCAAGTTTTGTTACTCGTGTTTGGGAATAAAGTTGATTTAGTAAGAACTGATAATGCAACAAATGAAAGTAATCAATAAATTGCTATCTAATATTTTTATCAATTGAAAATCAGCATCTATGGGTTCCATCGACCCATGAACCACAACACATTGCTAATAGCTCCAAAGCAAAAGCATAACTAACCAGTTGCAAGCAGAAACTCGTGGGGATGAAAATCTATGCATTGAACCTGGCCCTCATGATACTTGAAATCATGCAAGACACCCACCCACCACCACCACACCCAAATAAATTCAAATTATTTAAATGAATTAACTTTTCTTATGAAATTTTACATAAATAACTTACAGTAAACATCACAACACACATCTATGAATATATCTTTTGTTACAAATTTTTACAAGCTTCAAGATAAATCTGATCCCCATATGGATAACAGAAATCGCCCCTTATTTTAATTTATTTATAAGGAAGAAGCACTTTAGACCTTCACAGTATTGTCCTCTCCGCCAGATACAACCCAACGGCCATCTGGTGTAAATCTGATGGCATTGACTCCTCGAGTGTGGCCCTTGTATGTGTGGATACACCCCTTCTTTCTGATGTCCCATATCTTCAGATTTGTGTCCAGAGAGCCAGATGCAAAAAACTCTCCAAAGGGATGGAAGTCAACAGATATACAATTGGATCTGTGACCAGTAAGTGTCCGAACGACTGTACAGAAAATTTTTTACAATCAAATTCACACTACAACACAAATATCAAATACTTGACATAATTTCAACGAGTTCACTACTTTTTTCTCATGCAATCAAAGGAACATAAAGCAGAACCAAAGCATACTCTTTGCCTCCTCTAAATCCCATAGCTTGATTGTACCACTTGCAGCTCCTGCCGCTACTAACACCTCTGAGGAGTCAAAGCTAACCGAATCAATGCCACTGGTATGTCCAGACAAACTCTGGGAACAAAATCACATATTAAAAATTTGAAACAAATGTGTGAGAAATACAAATTTTATCTAAGGAAAGAGAACCGCATTGCCAATTGCCATTAAATATAACCTATTTGAACACTAAGAAACCTTGACCTGGATAAGACCTCACCTTAAGCAGCCTAACTTCAACAAAATCTCAAATGGCTTAGCTAGTCATATTGGACTCTATTTTCATCACCATTACTAGAAGCTAGTACAGGACTTTCATGCATTTTTTTCTATTTCTAAATTTTTTTTTCTATCTCTAAATTTTTTTTTCTATCTTCATAACAAATGGGGGCTTTCAAAATCTCAAAAGGCTTGGCTTCAAAATACTAATAGTCAAGTACTAGACTAGTCATATTGGACCCTATCTGCATCACCAAGACTAAAAGCTGGTTCAGGACATTAAGAACTCATGCTTTTCTTCTTTTTTCTAATTTTATTTCCCTTTTCATAAGAGAATTGTGGCTTTCAAACTACAAATTACAACTCCAAAATTACAAGTCAAATGTGTTCCCATCCAAACTATGACCTGACTTGAAGCTGTCTTAAATGCAAAATCCCACATAGTTTTCAACAGAAGAAAAAGACAGAAAACAAAATGAAAATGAGAAAAATAGAAGAAATACCAGAATGGCATTGGGTTTGCCAATGGCCCAAAGATTGACCTTGTGATCCTCCCCACCGGTGACAAGAAGCCTGGAAGACTTTCTTCCAATCTTAAGACAATTGACTGCGGCGGAATGCGCCACAAATTCCTCTGAAGTCAAACACTCTGGTTAAGGCTTTTAAACAAAATCCCCATCTCAAAAGCTGCCAAATGTATCGGATCAAGCAAAAAAGAAAAAAAAAAAAAGCAAACGAATTTTCATGACCACAAAATAAAAACTCCAAAAACAAAGCTTTCAACGAGAAAACAGGACAAAGGATACGGAGCTTGTAAGCGCGCTTGGTAGTCATCGCAAATACTTCAAAAAAAAAAAAATTCAAACCCTAGCTGGCCAAAATGCGAACAAAACCCTAGAGAAGATCACCGCAAAAATGTCGCATTCCCGAAATTTCAAACTGAATCTGGCAATGGCCGTCTCGTCCTTTCTCCCTCCAGATCTCGAAGAACTCGCTAGAAATCTCCGTTCCTTTTTCCCCAAAACAACAACAAATTTTCAACAGTGTCAGCGTAGATCAGAGAGAGAGAGAGAGAGAGAGAGTGTGAAAAGAGGAAGAAGCGAAACTTAAAGGCACATTACTGTTTGCTTGCACTTTTTTTCCTCTTTGGAAAAACGAGAGAGATTTGGGCGAGTAGTAGCTTCAGCTTCAACCTCGTTTTTTTTTCCTTTCTTTTCTTTTCTTTTCTCTCTCTTTCTCGCTTGCCAAACTCCTTGTTCTTCTCTCACACTCAAAATAAAACTTTCATCTTTTTTTTCTTCTCTGTGTTTGAAATGGTAACAATAAATTTAAATTCAAATGTGGGAATAAATGAAGGAGAGAGAGACAGTGATAGAATAGTAGTGGAGTAAGCTATAAGCATCCAAACCTGTAAATACAATAAAACAAAAACCAAAAATTTCACAACTAAGAAGAAGAAGAAGAAGATTGAAACATTTTTTCTTCTTTTTTTGTCAAAAACAAAACAAAACAAAAAAAGAGAAATTTATATATTTTCTTTTTGTTTTCTTTCTCTGTCGGTTTTTACTTTGAGAGATTAGAGGTTAAAATTGGAGTTTAAAATTAAGGAAATGGGTTTTGAAATAGAGGAAATGGGAAAGAGAAGGAAACGATTTTCAGATTATTAAATGTGAATGGAACATTACACTGCTTCTACTGTAGAAGTAGGAGAGAGAAAGAGTGGGAAGGAGGGAGGCGCTTTCACAATTTGTGTCCCTCTCTCATTATGACTCTTTTGCCCTTCTTTCTTCTTTCATCTTTCTTTTTTATTTTTTATTTTTCATTTTTTAACTTTTTATTTTTTTTATTTTCATTTCTTATTTTGTTTAACTTGTTCTTTTCTCTGATAAAAAATATTTTTTTTAAAATTGTAATTTAGATCTCGTTCATTTTATTATTTTTAATTTTTAATTTTAATTTTATTACAGTTAAAAATTTTTATAAAAAATTACATTTAATTTTTTTTATTATAATAAAAAATTAACATAAAATTACATTTTAATTTAAATTAAAAATTTAACGAGTTATTAAAGAACATTGAGACGAAGAGAAGAGATTTGAAATGGGAATGGCTTTTTTCGGATTGTGCGTGGGTTTCTTTCTTTTCTTTTCTTTTTGTTTTGCTTGATAGAAGAATGAGTTCCGCATATAAAAGAAGATAAGTTAGGGAAATTATTGTAAATAAGTCAATTACTAAAACATTTAAGAAAATAACCTTATTTGTCAAGGTAACAAAATTAGGTCCCTTCATTTTATTAATTTAAATTTTATTATAATAAAAAAATTTTAAAAATAATCACATTTTACCTCTCACATAAAGTTATATTTCAATTTTAAAGATTTTAGGCTTGTTCTTTTGAGTAAAAAACTCAAAAAAAGGCAACTCGAGTTACAATTTTATTCGAGTTCATGTTCTGTTAAGTTTAAACTCGAGTTTAGGACTAAAACTCGAGTTCAAGTTTCCCCTTCAACTCGAGTTCAGAAACTCGAACTCAAATTAATTAACAGTATTTTTTCTATTCTTAAAAATGCTATAACTTTTTCGTTTTAATTCTGATTGAGATGATTTTTTTATGCGTTGACAACAAAGAGACGAATAAAACCCGACCCATATACCCTATTAAAATTTTTCATCAGCATTGAATTTTTATTAAAATACTATTTAAATACAAATTCAAGTTTTGATTCACTCAAACACAAACTCAAAAAGATTCTTATCTCAAACCATAACTTAAATGTACACAACTAAACACAAACTCAAGTTACAAGTTTAACTCAAGTAATAACTCAAATTCAACTCAAAAATTATACTCAAATTAAACTCCAAAAGAACAAGCCTTTTGTTTCCGGTTTTACCCTTTATCATAAGAGTTCTATTTTTTTCACTTTTTCTCTCAATTCCTCTCTCTCTATCGTCTCTCTCCTTCCTCACTCAGTTGCTCAGTTGCTCAGTTACTCTTTATCTTATCGAGATGGTCGCCGGCCGTGAGCCCCCGCGAACGTCATTGTGCTATCTCACAATCTCATTGGAGACGTCGGGATTGGTTTTCTTCGCATCCTATCCTTATTATTTCTTCGTCACCTCGCAAGGTTTGCCTTGCGACGGCGATCTCTCGGCGGAGGCGACAGATGGTGATCTCTCAACAAAATCGCTCAGAGGAGAGGGCGTCGAAGTCGAGAGGTTGACTGATCTCTGTCGCGGCTGCTCCGTTGCGAGGCTGAGGAGATCGACAGCGCAGAGTGACGACGATGGCGGAAGCTTCGATGGTCTTCTCATTCTCGAGACGTTGCCAATGTTGCAGAGTTCGCGATGGATCGGATTTGCAAATTCCGTACAAAAGATGGTACCAGAGAGATAGATTGAAGAGGGAGGGAGAGAGAATCAGAAAGTATTATTGCTTTTTTTTTTTTTTTTGAAAAGTTTGATTATTTATTTCACTGGAGAATTTTAGTTTTAATATATATATATATATATATATTGATCATATTCAAAATATCAATTAAATGAGAGCCCGTTTAGTTGGAAGATTCATTTTCTAATTCGAATTATGGTTCATAGTTTATTACAGTATTTTTTCTCATAAAAAACACACATAAATTAAAATAATTCTAATTCATAAACTAAACGGGCTCGAAATAATAAACCGAAAAGCATGAGAAAAAACAACCCATGGCCTCCCAAAAGAGGGGGCACGCTCATCAGAGCTAATTTTTATAGGTAGGGATACTTTCGGAATTTTCATTAGTTGTAAATCGTTATTTATACTAAATTGGTCAATTTATTAAGTGGATATTTAGTTCATAAATTTAGATTTATGATTTAGAATTATTCTCATTTTACGTATATTGTTTGTGAGTGAAAAATACTGTAAAGAATTATGAATCATGATTCAAAATCAGTGACGAATACAGATAACGAACGTCTCCTAACTCTTTTCAAACTTAGGCTTATTAATTTTAATTGCTTTGTCAAGTTGGCATATTTTTCTCAATCTTCCTAAAAGATAATCTATTAGGGTTTATTATGAAAGGTTTTTGTTTAAAATTATTAGATAAATTAAATTCTTTTTGTTTTGCATATTTCTTATTTAAAGTATGATTTTGGTAGGATAATTTTAAGAAACGTGGAAATTATGAATAAATAAATGAGAATATTCATCGAAGAGTTATTTTTTAGATAAATCTCATTAGGGTTCTTCGAATGATGTAATAGATAAATGGGATAAAAAAAATCTTTACTATCAAGAAAATATGAACTATTAAAAGAATTATTTTTCTAGTTATTAAAAAATATTTTATCAATACTAAATTAATAAAGTTAAATCAAATGATAATGACATTATAATTAAAAGTATATAAGAATTTAGCAAATTTAACTAGTCTAAAATTGTGAATTAATTTCTTTTACCCTACAATAAAATTCTCTCAACTCACCCTTAAATTGTATAAGTCTATATTTTTACTCCTTAGTCTTGATTAATGCCTTTTGATTAATATAGTTATCCAACTAAAAATGATATTAATTAAGAGTAAAAAATAAAAATTTAAATTTATTTATTCTAAAGGGTATTTGTCTTCTTTTCTCTTAACTAATATGCACGAGAACTTATATAGAGAGTAGCATGGGACTAATGAATAGTTATTTTTACGAAAAATCTTCTTAATAAATAGAATGTTTTCTTTTTTGTTTGTGTCAAAACTTAAGTGACTAGAAATACTAGCATCACTCTTTCTGTCACCATCTATATTTACTGTTTGACACGTATATTATTACTTAAACAAAAAATGATATAGTAGAATTGACGTGTCAAATAGTTAATACAGAGAGTAATAAAGTGAGTGACAAAAAGAGCAACGCTAGCATTTCTCCCTAAATGTCACGTCTTGACAATTTGCAGATTTTAGATAAATTTTCTTAAATTAACCAAGAGTTGTCTCTGATCTTGCAAAAGCATATTTGATTTCAATTTTCCCTAAAAAGAGAGCTACTATCTTTTTAACTTAGACGTATTAAATTTGAACTCAAGGCCTTACTTCGATACGAGTTTATTGCTAGCCGAGCTTGTAACGAGTTACTAATAAGGCCATACTAAAATATTTCAAACTCAAAAGGATATGTATGACAAAAATATTCTCAAAATAATGGAAAATACTTAGTATTAGAATAGTTAGTGTTTAAGAGCTTATACTCAAACTCAAATTATTGATTCTACTACAGTGTAAAGTTCTCACATAAAATTTAAATTTTAAACATCAAAATTAAGAATCGTGAGTTTAAATATACCTCCCAAACAGACCATAAGGACGCGTTTGGAACTCATTCAAAAATGATTTTATTTTTTGTATGAAAATGAAAACGTTTGTAATCTCAGACATAAATCATTTTTGAAAAAGTATTTGGTAGTTTTATCAAGAGATTATTTTCAGTATAAAAAAAACCCATTAATGTGTGTGTGTGTCTCTCTCTCTGCTCGATAAATGAAAAAACAAAAACAAAAAATGAAAAACGACTAAAAGTCGTTTTTCATTTCTCTATCATTTTACACTAAACTAAAAAATCGTTTTCATTTTTGTTTTTTATCTTTATTGCGTTAAACGCCGTTTTAGAAACTTTTTTTTTTCGAAAAATATGTAAAATAAAAACGGAATTAATTCTAAACACGGCTAAGTCTTCTTTAAGTTAGGAAAAAGAATTAAAAAATAAAAGAAGAAAAGAAAAAAAGAGAGAGACAAAATTAAGGAATGACGAAAGGGCATGTAATCCCTATTTTTCTATATATATATATATATATATATATATATATTTTATGTATTTTGGCTGAAGGAGCAGGTGGTGAGGGCTGGGTCTCCCCCCCTCCCTCTTCTACAAATCAAAAATTGAATGGACAACAACCCAACATAACCCCCCACCCACACAACATCTAACTCACCATTTCCCCCACCCTCTTCACCTTTTACTTTTCTTTTTATTTATTTATTTTTCCTCTTAAAGAAAACTTTGTTTGCTTCTCAGAAATTCAGAATATTTGTAATATATTTAACAGCTTGTTCTCTAATAGTTTCTCCAATCGCTTTCAATTATATGTAGGATCCACCGTACCATTCAATAATTCAACCAAAAAAAAAAATAAGAAGAGGGCCCGTTCGGTTCGCTAATTCGAGTTGAGATGTGATGTTGTGTGAGAATTTTTTACTATAATAAAAAAATTAGATATAATTATATCTTAAAATTTTTTACTGTAACAAAACTTGAATTTTAAACTCAAATTGATAAAAAGAACGGGCCGAACTTCATCTTAACTACAATCTTTTGAATATCCAAAAAAAAAAAAAAAAAAAACATCATATTTAGTCCAAAAAAACAAAAAGGAGAAGAAGCGTGAAAACGAAAGAAAGAAGCAC